GAACGATTTTGCGAGGTATTTCCGAACCTGATCGTCAGTGTTCAAGCTCCCTTCTCGCTGGTTGAACGGTGACAACGATCGCAGGTGCAGGAAAGCAACAATAGCAGGTTTGACAAGGTATACCAGTGTCAGCGTAGCATGAGGGATGTTTGTCGGATACGATCATGTGACAAAGGATCGCAGGTTGAGGCGAGCATCTCACAGGTTCAGACGAGTCTTGTGCATCTAGAGGACAGATTTTGCGAGGTATTTTCGAACCTGATCGTCAGTGTTCAAGCTCCCTTCTCGCTGGTTGAACGGTGACAACGATCGCAGGTGCAGGAAAGCAACAATAGCAGGTTTGACAAGGTATACCAGTGTCCGAGCGTAGTAGGGATGTTTGTCGGATACGATCATGTGACAAAGGATCGCAGGTTGAGGCGAGCATCTCACAGGTTCAGACGAGTCTTGCGCATCTAGAGGACAGATTTTGCGAGGTATTTTCGAACCTGATCGTCAGTGTTCAAGCTCCCTTCTCGCTGGTTGAACGGTGACAACGATCGCAGGTGCAGGAAAGCAACAATAGCAGGTTTGACAAGGTATACCAGTGTCAGCGTAGCCTGAGGGATGTTTGTCGGATACGATCATGTGACAAAGGATCGCAGGTTGAGGCGAGCATCTCACAGGTTCAGACGAGTCTTGTGCATCTAGAGGACAGATTTTGCGAGGTATTTTCGAACCTGATCGTCAGTGTTCAAGCTCCCTTCTCGCTGGTTGAACGGTGACAACGATCGCAGGTGCAGGAAAGCAACAATAGCAGGTTTGACAAGGTATACCAGTGTCCGAGCGTAGTAGGGATGTTTGTCGGATACGATCATGTGACAAAGGATCGCAGGTTGAGGCGAGCATCTCACAGGTTCAGACGAGTCTTGTGCATCTAGAGGACAGATTTTGCGAGGTATTTTCGAACCTGATCGTCAGTGTTCAAGCTCCCTTCTCGCTGGTTGAACGGTGACAACGATCGCAGGTGCAGGAAAGCAACAATAGCAGGTTTGACAAGGTATACCAGTGTCAGCGTAGCCTGAGGGATGTTTGTCGGATACGATCATGTGACAAAGGATCGCAGGTTGAGGCGAGTATCGACAAGGTATTCGGCGGTGCATCCTGTACTTGAGAGTCTCGCTGGGTGTTTCCGAGGCGACTGACTGAGACCGATGAATGTGTTAGCTCATTCGTGACAAACTGATCGCAGGTAGTGGCGAGCATCTCACAGGTTCAGAAGAGTCTTTGGAGCTTTATGGCAATTAGCATGGCGGCTCTTTTTGTCTCGAGGATCCCAGGGTTCACGTTGCCTGGGCAGCCGCTGGGAAGCGGGTCGCCAGGGGTGGGATGATACGCGGCGTCCGTGTCACTATGCCAGCCATCATCGATGATCATGCGGATATGGATTTTAGACTCTTCATCATACCCGTAGTTAGCCTCATCTTTTACT